CATGGATGTCTTTGAGAATGGTCTTCCTAACAAGATAGTGGTAGTTTGATCACCATTGTCCATATCAAACACACAAAAATCATCAGGAAAAACCAATTCATTAACTTTATAAGAACATCCTCAATCACATCCTTAGGATAGGAATTAGATCTATCAACTAATTGAATCACAACACCAATTTTATTCGAAAGTCCAAGTTTCAAAGAAGCACAAATAGAACATGGCATGACATTTATAGATGCTCCTAAATCCAACATGACCTTCTCAGATCTATTGTCACCTATCGTACAAGGGATATTAAACATATCTGGATCTTTGTATTTTGTAAAGAGTTTTATGAATAACTACAGAGACATTTTTCCTAACTCTCACCTTTTCACACCCTTAAAGTTACTGTTTTTTCTTAATTGTATAAAGCTCTTTCAAAAATTTAGCATAACAAGGTACTTGTTTAATAGCATTTGGCAATGGAATATTTAGCTCACATCGACGAAAAGTTTCATAGAGATCCTTATTTTGCTCCTCTTTCCTAGATTCTACTAAAGCTTGAGGAAAATGGGGTACTGGTTTATATTCAAAAGGAAGTGGAATCTCACTCTTAGGTATGCCATCGTCATTGGGAACACTATTTTCTACTGTGACATCTTTATTCTTTTCTTCCTTTGACGATATTGGAACTGCCTTCAATGGGATTTCAACCTCTTTGCCGCTCCTCAATACAATTGCACTTTCATTTTCCTTTGAATTTACCACCATTTGAGAGGGTAGTTTTCTCAAAATTTGTGATTCTAGTTGACTGATTGCTATTGCCAGTTAACTCATCTGATTTTCCAAGCCCTCAATACTGGTCCTTGCCTCTTGTTGAAATTATTTTGTCTCCTATTGAAATTGCAACGTGTTAGTGGTAAGAGACAACAATATCTTTTAAAGACATACCTAAATTTGATGTTTGGCCCGGTAGTTGTCTAGAAGGATATGGCTGCTTATATTGCTGAAAAATCAGGTGATTTTGAGGCATGGGTTGATTTATTTGTGGATTTCCATAACTGAGATGAGGGTGATCCCCCATCCTTGGTTATATGTGTTCGAATAGGGATCATACTTCCTTTGCGGTTGTCTAGGAAAGCCACCTGCTATATTAACTTTTTCAATTGGTTCTTCTTGAAGAGTTGGACACATGTCGGTTGGATGTTCAACTATTGAACAAATCTCATAAACGTTTACTGTCTGCATATTACCTACAGCCATTTAATGAACAAAAGAAGTTAGACTTGCAATTTATTGTTCAATAAATGAATTATTACCTCATTAACATGTTTAGGAAGGAGGTGGAGTCTAGTGCCAAATTGTTGAGCATTGGCTACCATGTTTATAATTAAACTCCTTGTGTCCTTAGGCATTTTAACCACCAAAGCTCCTCCAGTGGCAGCATCAATCATACCCCTATTACATGTGAAACAGACTTTGGAGATATTGAGGCAACATCGGTTTTCTATTAAGGTAAGCAAATGTGCCTTTGGACAAGAAGAGTTAGAGTACTTGGGGCATATGGTTCCAATCAAGGGCTTAAGGTGGATGAAAACAAAATTGCATCCATGGTAGCATGGTCTCGGCCTACTAACATTTCTGACCTACGTGAATTTTTAGATTTGATAGGTAACTGCTAGAAATTTGTAAAAAACTATGGCATAATAGCTCAATCACTCACCAATTTACTCAAGAAGGGTCAATTTGGATAGAATGATGAAGCGGAGGTTGCCTTCCACACCCTCAAGCAAGCTATGACGACTACTCCCATTTTGGCAATGCCAAATTTCAATGACTCCTCTACCATTGAAACAGATGCCTCTGCAAAAGGAATTGGAGCCGTGTTGACCCAACAAGGCAAGCCCATAGCCTTCATGAGTCGAGCCATAGGGATGTCCAGGAAATCGTGGTCCACTTATGCCAGGGAATGTTGGCCATTGTAGAAGCCATACGCCTCTGGCGACCATATTTGTTGGGCAAGAAATTTTTTTATCCAGACGGACCAACGAAGCCTTAAGTATTTTTAGATCAATGTATGCGGACAGACGGGCGTTTGCTGTTACATTGAACAATATCTTCAGTGTTTTGTTAATCAATGGCCACGCAAATGGAGCAGCTACTTGCCTTGAGCAGAATATTGGTATAATACAACATACCATGTTTCCACTAGTATGACTCCCTTCTAGGTCCTCTATGGACGATTACCTCCTTTTGTTCCATCATACAGGGACGGTATCTCTCTAGTACACGAGGTTGATCAAACTTTATTAAGTCGTGATGAATTGTTGCAACATCTCAAGAATAATCTCGAGAAATCAATCAATCGAATGAAGCAACTGGCTGACCAGAATAGGAAAGATGTTTCTTTCAATGTTGGTGATCATGTATTTTTGAAATTGCAACCATATCGCCAGCAGACAGCTTTCAAACAGGCCCACCAAAAATTATCTAATAATTTCTATGGGCTTTATTGCATTTTGGAAAGGCGTGGGTCAGTAGCCTACAAACTTCAACTGCCAGAGAAGGCACGCATTCACTCGACTTTTCATGTATCACTGCTTAAGAAGTATGACGGAAAGGTTGATGAAGCACATATGGAGTTACCACCCTTCACAGAAGAGGTTATTGCTATTTTGGAACCTCTATCAGTGTTAAATACTCGATGGACAAAGTAGTTAGCTAACATAGTAGAGGAAAGCCTAGCGTATTGGAAACATCTGCCAATAGAAGATGCTACATGGGAACCAACCAAGATACTTGTGAAATAGTTTCCTTCCATGAATCTTGGGACAAGATTCCACTCATGGGTGAAGGATCATAAACCACGCAGGTCAGGGGGTAGCCACAACTGAATCCTTAATATATGGGCTAATGCATTACGCAAGGAATAAAACCTCCAACAAGTGTACTACTAAGTGAACTAGTCGTTGGAGTAATTTAGGAGATTATTTCCATTTCTGTTTTTATTTCCTTCTGTTGTATTTCATTTTGGCTAAGATTCAGCATAAGTTGTTAAAGTTTGACTTATTTAAAGCCTTGATCGTGAATAAAGAAGGCATCTAGAATTATTTATCAAAACTGTGGTACAAATCTCACCCTAAGAGAGTTAATCTTTATATTCTATTTGTCTTTGATCGGGACCGCTATAAAGCTAAGTTTACAATCCTGATTTTTTTTGTCAAGAAGAGGAAACTTGTCGCTGGAAGAAAATGATTAATGGTTTATAATCAATTTCTAATCCCTACTTGTCCCTAACTTGTTTGCTTCTTTTATTGACATAGAATGCTTGGCATGCCCATTAAAAGTTCTTGGCTTAGTAAGTCCTTCTGATTGTAAACTCCAAGTGTTCAAAATTCATTCCCCTTTGACTTGGTTTAATGGGATTCACATCCTCTTTACTTTAAAAGGGTAAGGATATGAAGAACTCTGTTTGCATTTAGTAAGGAATTGTGTATGAAATTTTGTACAATAATCTCTTATGAGGATTTTTATTATAGTAGGGATTGTGGAAGTGAAATATGTGATTGGTTCAATGGAAGGGATAAAGTAAGATTTAAAATTGAGGCCATTTGAGAGAGTCACATATCTGTTTCATGATATCAAAATCAATGACAAGATCTTTACCAGGCAATGATGAACCTAGTATTTATGGGAATTGCCGAGTTTTGGGAAAGAACTGGATTTTGATGGGTTTACTAATAAGTTTTGTAACGAAGTACTCATTGTTTGGCGACTTGAAAGATTTTTCTTGTGATTTTTCAGCATGTTTTCAGGAGGGATTGTTGGATTAAGAATTTAGGATGATGTTCCAATGTTAAGCAATGTTGCAACTACAGTGGGCCTTTCATATTTTTCTTAAAAAAAGACTTACTAAGATCATTGGTACTGCATAGGAAATATTTATGACCGACATTTTAAATCATTCCTATATAGAGCCAATGCCAATATCATCACTACTGGTATCAAAATCATTATATTTAAGAGCAAATATAGTTTCAATCATTCCTAGTGCAAATTTTGCCAAGTGGGCTCCTTTACCATAAATAAAACATTTGTTTCCTTTCTTCTTTGAAATTTTTTTTCATGAAAAACCTTTTTTTCTAAAAAGGAAATTTTGAAAATTCACTTCTTCTTCCGTGGAATTTTGATCTCTTGCTTTTGAACCTTTCATTATGCCTACATTCGATTCAGGCTTGGTTAGTCACAAGCCTCACTGACTTGTTTTCCTTTTGTGTTGAAATATCTAAAAGAACTATTTTAGATTATAAACCGTCGTTAGAGTTTTCACTACTCAATTACAGATTTCTCGATAGATGTCTACGAAATCGGTTGTGTAACACTACGACCCGCATAGATCAAAACGTCACTAAAATAATTGTACATTAGCTGTGGGTTTAATAATTAACTATATTTTTAGCAGAAAGTATAAAATTTTAATTTAAGAATTTACTTAAGAATTATATTTTTTTTCTTTAAAATAATATATTTTTTCCACGAACAATGGCATATATGTGTTTACCAAATAAATAAAAGGCTTTATATAAATTTTTCATTTATGCCCATCTTTAAACAGTAAGTAAAACTAAGCTATTTTCTTTTTCTATTTTGCATGGCAAGTGTCAAAATAAATTCGTTTGCATAGCTATCGACCTCGAAACTTCACAAAATTTTATTGTAAAGTAGAAAAGTTTCTATAATATAACATATCTAGAAATTGTTTTTTGTCGGTGAAAAGTGAATTTTGTACACTTATCTAGGTTAGTAAATCGGAGTATTTGTTAGTGATTTGAATGAATTATAGCTTAAAACTCAGAGGAACTAGTGATGCAAAAACTCCACGATATTGACAATTTGTTTTTATTGTTTATAACGAATAAAAGAAACTTTGAATTATAGCATAAAACTACGATAGTTAAATATTTTCTTCTCCCACACAATGTTTTAGGAATTTCTTAGAATTTTAGCAAGCAAAATTAGACCTGAAATCCTGATTAAAAAATAAATAAATAAATTACCACATGAAATTGTAGTCCTTGCATAAAACAGGGAAACTGTATTATCACCTGTGGACTACCCATATGCTCAAGTTGATGCCCATCAGGCAAGCTATCTGAAATATAATGCCAACCAAGGACATCACTTTCCAAGTCTTCATCCAGAAGTGTATCCCAGATATACTTCAATCTCCATTGCCAAGGAAAAATAGGAAACTTGACAAAGAATCTCGAAACAATTACTCTAATCTTGTTATGAATCCACCCAGTGGCCCAAAGCACTCTCATTCCAGCATCAACCAATGGATAACCAGTTCGACCCTGTCGCCAAGCCTTAAAATGGGCCACGTTAGCATGCCAAGGGAAAAAATTCAAGTTGTTCAGCAATGATCTTTCATGAGTAAATGGGAAGTTAAAACAGATATAACGAGAATACTCCCTAAGACCAATAGCCCTAAGGAAAAAAGTTGCACATTCTTCTCCAGCAGAGTTCTGTTCATTTTTCCAAAGTATTTGCTTCATACGCACAGATGGTAAAACACTAAAACTTTTGAACACTGAGTTCCCCAAAATGAATATATGGGGACAAGAGGGATGCACAGCTCCCACTACAAAGAATCTCGAAACAATTACTCTAATCTTGTTATGAATCTACCCAGTGGCCCAAAGCTCTCTCATTCCAGCATCAACCAATGGATAACCAGTTCGACCCTGTCGCCAAGCCTTAAAATGGGCCACGTTAGCATGCCAAGGGAAAAAATTCAAGTTGCTCAGCAATGATCTTTCATGAGTAAATGGGAAGTTAAAACAGATATAACGAGAGAATACTGAAAAAAGTTGCACTTTCTTCTCCAGCAGAGTTCTGTTCATTTTTCCAAAGTATTTGCTTCATACTCACAGATGGTAAAACACTAAAACTTTTGAACACTGAGTTCCCCAAAATGAATATATGGGGACAAGAGGGATGCACAGCTCCCACCAACCCTAAGTCTGTCCTTTGAGTAGTCTAGCAGATGATGCTCTACAAAATCTGTTAGAGCCTTATCAGCATTGCTCCAACCAGGTGACCATCCTTTTCCTAGTAAGGTATTAGTAAATTTTCTGATTCATCTTCAAGACCTAATTCCTTAATTGAACACTTTTAGCACTTCCTGTCAATACAAAAGACAAACAACTATTCAGCTTTCTCTTTCAGATTTTCTCATACTTCCTTTTTCTATTTCTTATTTGATTCTTATTTTTCCTTCTGGCTATTGGACTATTATGCATTGACTCACAAGGCCAATGTCTAAACAAGTAACAAACTGATAATGTCAACTATAGACCGAAACCAACAACTGGATTTCAATGAAAGCAATTTGGTAAATATACAGAATACCTGCAGCTGGCACCGAACGCCACGGAGGAAAATGTGAAACGATTTCTCTTTGCATGAATAAGCACTAAATGCATGTCCATTGTCAACAAATACTTCCCAAGGCTCATTCAATAACTCCCCGTTATAGCTTTGCACTGTAATGCCAAGCTCACCCAACTCGTGTTTAGTATCGTGATCGCGAACGAGTGAAACAGGATCTGGGGATGGAGACACAACAATTCGAGGATATACCTGGAAAAGTCTATTTCTTCAGCATCACAGTAATTTGTTGAACTTTATATTCTAAAACTGAGCTAAAGATTAATAGTGAATGCATAACATTCTCGTAATAACTACAAATTCCACCTTGCGATTTTCAATTTCTTTTAATCATCCTTTAGCTTCCTTTCTGAAATTCCGTCCTCTACGTTACTCTAGAACAACAAAAAGAACTTAAAAGAACCCATCTTTTTAGTCCAACTGGTTCAATTTATATAATTTGCTTACTAGCTTAGCACCAAACGTTTATCTAATACTTACACAAACAACAACAAACTACGCCTTGTTTCCAATTAACAAGAAGCAGAACTAGTGGCGGAGGCATAAATTTTGAGTTAGAAGGCACAATCAACTTGCAAAAAAGTTAAGAGGAATTTTACATTCAAAAATTTACATAAAAAAAATAATAAATAAATAAATCATACCAATTTATAGTGAGTTTTACATCTGAAAATTTACATGTGGTATGACTTTTTCGGATGTAAAATTTTGACAAAAATTTATGTAATACCCTATTTTATATTTTCAAATAAAATGATGTAAATTAAATTGAGAAATTTATTGCATAAAAATAATAAATCTTTCTGAAATAAATGAAATATTTTAAAGAAAAGACAAATTAGACGCCTCTTTTTAAAATGTATGTTTGGCGTAGTTTTAATTATTTCCAACGTCTATTTGGACAGTTCGATATATATATATATATAAATTCTAGAAATACAAATTTGGAACAGCCTACTTTGACAAGCTGTAACATTATCTACGATTAGCCGTTTCGCATGTTATTGACGACGTAGAAAACTAGGTCATGAGCACTTCGAAATAAGATTAGTAATACAATATTTCGCTCCGTTTTGTATCTCGTAATGACTCTAAAAATTGAGACAAAAACATAGAAAAATCAATGGCGGTAAGAAAAAAAGGATTTGTCCAAAAGTCGGGGGTGGCAGGATTAGAATGGGATATGGATAGATTTTTAGAAAATCAAGAAATAATTATAGCACCACAAGAAGCATTAACTTACAAAGATATTCATGGAAGAACTAGTTTAAGATTTTTAGATTATAATCAAGTACAAAGACAATGATTTTGAAGAAGAAACTAATCTTGAAGAAGAACAAAATGAACCATTTCAAAATCAAGTTCATATAGAATAAATGGATGAAGAATTAGATAGAATAATTTACCCAAAAGAATTAGGAATGAATTTAGATAATAAAGAATTATTAGAACTTGAAGATCAAATGTATCTTAATAAGATTATAACAGAATCTGAATATTTATATTATGATCAAGAACAGAATATAAGAATAGGAATTATTAAAAAAGATAATGATTCAAAAAATTCAGATTTAAGTTATATAAAAGAACTTATGAAAAATTCTAATACATATAGAACTTTTAGTAATACTCCTTTTGATAAAACAATTAAACATGAGGCAATGGTTTATGGTGGAGGATTTCTTCCAAGAGGAGCTTATCCTTTATATAATAATACAGAAGGAAAATATATAGCAAGAGGAAGTGAAAGACCCTTAGAAAAGAAAATAGAATTCCAATCAGATCATAAAGCACAAATTCTAAATATTACAGCACATGATCCACAGACATAGAATAATGTAATAAATGTATGGAAAAATACTATAATGGGACACTATATTAGAAATTTTCAAGAAATAGAAGCTTTAGACATGTATAGATACTTAGAAACATTTTTAGGAGAAAGTGTAAAAGTTATGTGGGAAGCATTTAAATTGGAAAAGAAAGAAGAATTTGAACAATTAATTAATATGGGTAGTAATCCATATAATTTTGTCAATAAAATACAAATATTAATAACAAGAGCAGACCCAAATTGAGGATATATGAGTATACAAAGAAAAGTTATGAGAGATTTAGAACAACTTAGTCATTATAAATGGACTAAAGGGAGATATGTTAAAAAAATTTAAATGAATATCATTATTTAACTTCAATATCAGGAAATACATTTAATCAAGAAATTGATAATAAATTATTTCATAAACTATCAGGACCATTAGGGTTAGAAATTACAGATAAATGGAATAATTTAGCATCAGTAAAAGAAGAACCAGAAAAACAATGGAGTATAGGACAAAAAATAGAACATGTAATAAGATGTTTAGAAGATAAATGTGTAGAATTACAAATTTAAAAACAACTTAAAAAGATAGATTATAAATTTTGTAAAGATATTTTTACCCGACAAACTTATGGAGCATCTAGTTCAAGAAAAAATAAATATAGTAATAAAGAAAGAAATAAGAACAGATCTTTTAAGAAAAGATATTTTCTTAGAAAATCCAATAAAAGAAAATAATATTTAGATGAAAAAAGACATGTTAGGAAATTTAAACCAGAAAAAACTTATAAAAATAGACTTAGCTGTTATGCTTGTAATAGTAATGAACATTTATCCAAGACCTGTCCAAAAAGAATAAATAATTATGATAAGAAAAGTACACTAATAGAATGTACTAATGAAGATTTAATACAACTAGATGAATATATCTCAGACAAAGAATTTATTTATAGTATTATATCAATAGAAGATAAGAATTTAGAAGAAAATAGAGAATCTGATTATAAAATAATAGATGAATTTTCAAATATAAGATTACAAGAAGAATCAGAATCAGAAGAAGAATTAAATTTAATGAATAATGTAATTATAGAATGTATACATAATAGGCAAAGATATAAAGGAACAGATAATATAGCTTGTTATTTATGTAACTGGTATCCAGTAAGAAAGCTTAGAGCTAAATGTATAGAATGTTATAAAGAAGCATGTATAAAATGTTTAGAAGAAAAGAATCTTATTGAAAAAGAAGAAATTAACTCAGAAATTTTAAAAGAAAAAATTAGAATTTCAGAAATAAAAATTCTTAGAAAAAGAATAGAAAGTTTAGAAGAAATGCAAAAATTTATAATAAATAAAATAGAATTGTTAGAATATAATAATAAAGGAAAAATGATAGAAATAGAAGAACAAAATCAAAGTATAGAACATAAAGAAAAAAGAATATATTCAGGTAATATGTAATCCAGAAAAACTCAAAAATATTAAAGTAAAATGTTACATAAGAATAGGACAATATGAAATAAAATATTTAGGTTTAATAGAATCAGGATGTAGTAATTGTATAATTAATAAAAAATTAATACCAAAACAATACATAACATATTCAGAAAAACCAATAGAAGCACAACAAATGGACGGAGAACTTTATACTTATACAGAATTATTACAATCAAATAGTAAGATTCGTTTTGAAACAAATTGTGGTAGAAGTATAGAATATACTTTACCTAAAGAATATGTATGAATCAGACCTTTAAATATTAAAGATACATATTTTATTATATGATTAAGTTTTTTATTAAAAGATAATGGAAGCGTTACAATTACTAAAGATTTTTTATATTTACAAAGATATACTTTATTTACACCAACACAAATTACTTATTTTTCATCAGAGTGCATAGAGAAGTGTGGTGGTAGTAGCAGTAGTAGCAAGTATAAGTGTGAAAAAGAAAGAGAAAGCCAATTAATAGAAGAAGATAATTTAGAAGAAATAAATTTT